TGCGGTGGCACGAATTCAAATTTTTTGAAAATTGTAACAGGATAACAGGAGAATAAAAGAGGTATCTTGTGCGGTGGCACGAATTCAAATTTTTTAAAAATTGTAACAGGATAACAGGAGAATAAAAGAGGTATCTTGTGCGGTGGCACGAATTCAAATTTTTTGAAAATTGTAACAGGATAACAGAAGAATAAAGGAGGTATTTTAACTAAACAAGTAAAAAGTCAAAAAAATTCGAAAAATTCTCGATTCAAAAATCGATTTAAAAAAAAATTGAAACAATTAATTAGCATTCTCTTAATCTCTGGAAATCAGAGGCTAAATCCGAGGGAATAATTAATTAACGATATAAAAAAATGAAAATTATTGAATTTTATTGAATATAAAATCCGGAAATGTTGGTAAGCAGGTAATTCTCCAGAAAAGGGCTCAACCCTCGGCAATCTGTCGACCTCGTGCAAGTACCTGGTGAATTCAAATCACAGAGATCGCGGAATCTTGGAAAACGTGATTTCCGGGTAAGACAGAAAGGGAGAATAAAAATCAACAATGGACGCGGTGCAGGGATAAAAGGATCAGGCGGAGGTTCAAGTGTGGGCACGTAGTCGGTGAGGTACTTGTTTTATTGCACGTGAATTACTCGCTTAAGGGACATCACGGTGTTACATGTTGAGTTTGAAAGAGACGAATTCCTCTCTCGGAGATGCTCTTGTCCCCTCCAGGAAAACCGATTATTCTAGGCCAAATGGACGCCATTCAAATCTCACATTCACACGTCCATTCACCTATGGCACTGAATATCTCCGGATCTAGAGGATATACCGAAATTCACATTATAACCTTTTTTGTAGAACTCATTCCACTCCACGAAAAAGATTCCAATCGAAATTTCGCTATCTCCTTCGGATTTCCAGAAATTCCCCAAAAACACGGTGAAATAAAAGATCGATTCGTAAATCGATTTAATTGCTCCATCCCATTTTCAGGAATATCTCTGTATTAAAGAGAAATATCGAAATTTGTATAATTATCTTTTTTGTAGATCTGATCCCCTTCCATAAAAAAGGTCCTACGGAAAATGTTGCTATCTCTCTCGAATCCAGAGGTATTCCCTGAAAAATGAAAATAAATTTGATAATTTCATGGAAAATTCCAGAGAAATGACTGAATTAATTAACAATACTCTCAAAAATGGCGTTTACACGTACAAGGGACTGAGTCCGATCAAACCCCCGATGATTAACAGCTAGATAAAAAAAAAATAAAAGCATCCCAAAGGGACGAGTTGATTAATACCGGTGATTAAGGGGAAGAATCACGCAATTTACCTTTCAAATGTGGCGTGATTCGTGAGTTTTATCAAGACCATGTGGTCTTGCGACTCTTGAAGGACAAGACTTGACACATTGCGGAAGATATTTAATGATGATGACTATTTTGCGCAACGGTATTTCCCTGAAACAAATGACAACTAAAAAAGAAAAAATAAATAAAATAGTGAAATCCCCACGCCATCTCTGGAATTTCTCTCTCCGTCTAACCTGTCGAAAGATAAATAAATAAAAATGGCCGACCTTCGAGATTCTTCTTAATTCCCTCGGATATTAGCTTCCGTAATAAACTCCGTGACTCTCCATGGAAAAACCGCAAGAACAAATCTATTATCTTCAAATGCGTAAGTACGAAAGTGGTGTAAATGCTTCCGCGTTGGTGAACGTCCGCTCGTTTAATGACACACGTTAAGTAATAGAGTAATGATTCATTTGGTTCCAAGGGCTCTTCCGTTTCTCGGGTTGATATATTTTTTAATTTTTATAATGATGGGGAGTAACCGATGGGTCGAGAGCCATTGCACTTGACCGGGGGTAATTGAACGGTCAAATGATGACGCTTGCCGGTCTAAGACCAACACAAATTCCGGCTATACACTTATCAATTTTAATTTCTCTATTTATTATTCACTTGCCTATTATAATAACAACAACAGCATAATACTGAATAAATAAATAAAAATGTTAACGTAATTTAATTATATTATCGCGTGAAAGATGTTTTTTATTTATTTATTTATATTATTTTGAAGGGATTATCTATGAGATCTTGATGAATTGATTAGTCAACTCAATGGAGGACTGGGATTGGGATTATTTATGGGAGAGTGAGTCCTTCGAGGATGTCAGGACTTTGACTATCGATCAAGCTTCGATCGCTGAGAAATCAAGAGTTTCTGATACCGGTGAATTATTCCCGCAATTCGTCTCGAAACTCGAGGATGAGAGGGCGAAACGTGCGGCCGCTGAAGAAGAGGAAAAAAGGGAGAGACTGCGGAAACTCCTAGGGGTCATTTGAATTTTTTTATTTTCATTTTCATTTTTATTTCCATTTTACTTTCCCTTTTAATTCTCAAAATTCATTAGTTAGATAAAATGAAAGCCCGAGATTCCGCAGAGACAATTCTCACTCCTGATGAGGACCTTCCAGTATCCGAGAGTAGCAGCAGCGAGAGCAGTGGAAATATCTGCCTCAGGAACATCGGAGTTAGTGATTCCCAGCTGAAGCTGTTGAACATCTTCAAGGTCTATCCAGTGCCAGACGATCCAGGCCTGGTGTCCGGATTCTGGGTGCTCTTCCCCAGAGAGATATCCTACAAAGAGGACGGCATCCAGAAGTTCCTGGACATCAGTGCGAGGATGAAATTACGACCCATCCAGAGACTCCAGGAGATGCTGAAGACGGATGAAGTCAATCTGGGATTTTACGGACTAGATCCCAGAATTATTCGTCCACTTTCCGATGCCATAACGAATAATACTTCAGTGCAAACAATTAATTTACAAGTAACTCCATAACGAAATCATGGAATTAATTAATAATGAAATAATTAGTTATGCAATTGAATATTTCTGTGTCAACTGTTTATTTATATTTTTCAACGCAAAAAAAAATATTTTCCACAGGAAAATTGGCTGACAGTGGACGCCTGTTTTCACTTGAACGATTTATTAATAAACAACGGGATCTTGTCGTCGATTAATTTGTCAGGATGTAGAATAGGCCCTAGAGGAGCGAAAAGGCTGATCGACGGGATCGGGAGAGCACCAGCTCTTCAATATCTGAACGTGAGCAAATGCCAATTAGGGGATGAAGGTGCGACCCACATCTGCCATGGAGCCAGCGAGAGTCTGACCCTGAGAGTTCTCGATTTATCCGATAATGATATCGATGGATCATTCGCCCGTTCTCTTTACTACACCCTAGTGCAGACCGAGACACTCCAGGAAATAAATCTCGCTTGGAATTCAGTGAAGTCCGACGAGTTCTGGGAGAATTTTCTCACTGGAATTTTCAAGAACCTGAGTCTGACGAGAATCGATCTGTCGTGGAACTCCCTGGGAAGTCAGTGTCTACGTTTTTTGATGGAATTAGTGGCAAAAGCTCCAGGAGTCGAGGATATCAATCTCTCCAGTAAATTTCGTTGCGAAGAGCTAAAACGATCGGAACGGCGTTTATAATATTTAATATATTCAATCGTAATGCTTGATTCAATTCAATATTTAATTAATATTGTTGATAATTAATCCAGGGGAATTGTGTAAATGAATAATTGCAGATAATCGATTGAACGACGAAGACGTGGGAAAATTGGCGATTTCCATTTCGAAATCGAGAACTCTTCGGAATTTGTCCTTGAAGAATAATCCGATTGGTCCAGAGGGTGTCCTCGCCCTGGTGAAGTCCCTGAAGTCTTCTCCGGAGCTTCACCTGGACCTGGGGAACATCTGGGCAGATAAAAAAGTTATTCCGTACCTCGAAGGGATTAAAACCGTGAACCTGGGAGGAATTCTGAGTAATTATCACCTAGTGGGTCCAGACCCCAGGTCAATATTCCTGAAGAGAGCGAACTTCGAGGCGATGAAGCCCAAGAAAAAAAAACAGCGGAGGAACTTCGGCCACTTCGTCCTCTCCCTCGAGGGCTCGACAATTTCCAAATCTGATTTTGTGATTTTAATTCAACGACATAAAATCAAATTGTCGGAGTCTCTCGTCGAGGAGATTGCCATGGCTTTTGCTGAGGGTAAGGACGAGGTCGACCTGATGAAATTGAAGGCCTTTTACCTCCAGGAATATCCAGAGACTAGTCTTCCCCCGCCAAAACCAGAGAAGAAAAAAGGGAAAAAGTCGAATGATGAAGCGAAAGAAAAAACCGCGGGCGATAATCCGCTATCAGAGAAAAAGCTCACGAGGTTCGTCTTTTCCCTTCAATTAATTAATCAATTAAAACGTCTTAATGAACGGAATATTAATAATTAACTGCATCCCCAGGTTCGAATGACAAATGACATCGAGTGATTTCGCCTTCGAGAAACCGAAACGAAAAAAAAATCCCAGAAAATGGTTTTTTGAAAAAAACACTCATTGCAATTCGTTACAATGATAATTTCATTACAAAAATAATACAAAACGAAGTCTACACTGAATTTAATTGGAGTTGCTCCCCAAAAAAATAAATTACACGTAAGCCTTGAGATTAATTGGAGAATTAGAGAGAATTCGTCAATTATTGAAATTTCGTATGGATTGTCTAGTCGAGATAAAAAATTCTGGCAGCGATGTCATCGAGGATCCAGTCGATGCCCTCGACGAGATTTTCGGCAGTGACAGCTGAGCACTTGAGGATCTGCCAGTGGTGGGTCTTGATGCCATTGAGCCCGAGGACGTCAGCAATTTCAGCTGACGACAGAGCACCAGGTAAATCCTGTTTATTAGCGAGAATGAGGAGACTCGCACCCTGGAGTCTCTCCTCCTGGAGGAGTTTGTACAGTTCGGCTTTGCAGTCCTCTAGTCGACGCTTGTCTGCACTGTCGACGACCCAAATGAGACCATCAGTACTCTCGAAATAATTTCTCCAGTAAGATCTCAGGGATTTCTGTCCACCCACGTCCCAGATATTCAACTTGTAGCCCCTGTGCTCCAATGTTTTTATATTGAACCCCAGGGTGGGAGATATCGTGTCTATTGGCTCGCCAACTATTCTCTTGAGAATCGTCGTCTTCCCAGCGTTGTCCAGGCCTCTGGAATAATAATTAATCTCCGGATTATTGAATTAAAATTATTTATTTAATTTTCCATTGGATTTTTGACAATTCCATAACCCCAAATGACAATTCAACTCCAGTAAAAATACTCACAGCATGAGAATTCTCATTTCCTTCTCCTTCTGCTTCAATTTTTTTAATACTGTCAGCAATCCCATGATTAATTACGATTTAATTCCCTTTTTGCAATGAAATATTCACTAGTTAATTATTTTTCAAATCTTTTTCTTGTCATCTGTCAACATTTCCAGTGGACTAGCCTAACCCCAGGATTTTAAGGCGTGTTTCTCATGAAAAACTGGAAGACCCCGCGAAAAATAAAAATTAATTAAAAAAAATTAAATAGTTCAGTGATAAATTATTTATTCGTTATTTCCTGACTGAATTTATTTATCAAATCTAATCAATCTTTTTTCAGAAGAGTATCAACAACTCTGGTGATGATTTCCGAGTGACAGAGGGTGTCAGTAATTTTTTTCAAAATATTCTCGTCACGATTTAAATATTCTACAGTCGATTCCTGGATTTTCTCGTTCTCACAGACTGGAAATCGATGTCTTTGTTGGTGTAAAAATAATCTCAACTCCTCACGGCCCAGGTAATTCCCAAGTTTAACAAAATTTTTAAATTCCCTTGATAAATCTGGAGGAGTCCAGGGGGTTTTCCGGATTTTTTTGTGGATCATCTCCTCAGGAGGTTCTTCCCTCAATTTTTCACAGTCGCTGATACATTTTTCTATCTGCAATTGAAAAAAAATTGTGGATTAAACGGATTGACTCCTAATTGAATAATAATTAACAATAAAAAATAATTCTATGAGAATTACAATTAGAATTCTCCAGAAAAAAGAAGAATTGGAATTTCTGGAGAATTTCTACTGAGACTTGAATGAATTTTTCTATTGAATATTTCTCTCCTGATGTTTTAAAGAGTTATTCACCAATTCCAGGATTTCCTCGAGCCTATAAGGGACGTCCTCCCTCACAGCAGGAAGACCCTTTCCAATCCTCTCGATGATGAGCTTCACGAGGGCCTCCCTGAGCCTATTCTGACAGTCCGAAGCCAGTGGCAGCCAAACATTGACACTGACACTGACCTCCAAGGACTCCACGAAGTGCCACCAGCCTCTGGGGACGAAGAGCACATCCCCAGGTGTCAGGACGACCCTCATGGGCCCTCTCTCGATTTTTAAGAGACAGTCTTCCTCGTATGTCGACGGGCAGAAGAAATTCAATCTGCTATATATTGTGGACTCTTCGTAGGGGACTCGAGTCTCCTGGAGAATTTTTCCAGAGTCTGGAGGAAACAGCAGCCACTGCTTCCTGAAATAAAAACCAAATCCTTGAATAATTCATGATTATTTATATAATAAATAAAATCTAGTGGCAACTCCACAATTTTCTGGTAAAAATTAAAATCTTCGTGATAAATCTCGCGAACTCTTCGAGTAAAAAATGATGCAAAAAATATTTAAGAACAATTATAAATATGTTGCAGAGGTGAATAAATAAATATTGAGATAATTGCCTCCCATGTGTCTGTGCAATTAAATTAGAGCCATAAGAATCCTGATGACAGTTCGTGTGAGCCCCTTTGCTCCCTATCCAGAGGGTAGAGTCCTCTCCAGTTTTTTCGAATCCAAAAGATCTCCAATCAACTGCTGACAAGACTTCCGGTTTATCCTTAAACCATTGGTGCATATATTTGTAATCGAAATAATACCAGTTGTGATTTTTATCAGCTTTTTCCAGGAATTCATCGATGCTCAGGGCTTCTGTGGGGCAATTCAGGTCCCACTGGGGCTCCTAGGGGCCAAATCAATCAAAAAATCATTTATTCATTTATTTATAATAAAAAATATTGAATTGATTGAAGAATTAATTTTTTTTTGAGGATTACTTTTGTTCTGGAATTTTTCCCAGTCCGGAAAGGGAGGGGCTTGTCCCCCAGGACATCTCTCAGCCCCTCCAGAGACAGGCGACTCCAATTATTCCTTTCCAGGTCGTTATTTATAATATTCTGAAATATTACTGGCTCTTGCAACTCCAAAATTGCTTGTCTCAAGACTTCAGGGGATGGTTCTATATTTTCCATTGTTCAAACTGAAAAACAATTGAAGATTAAAATTTCCGAAATTCAGAATTTATTCTCCATGAATTCCTGAGTTTTTCCAATTTAATTGTTATTAAATCGAATTTCAAATTCCATTTAAAAAATGTTTTATAGTTGAGATGATTTTGGAGGTTTTGACAATAGAGGATTGACTGAAGTAGAGGCTCTGGGGGTTGGAGTCACCCCTGCGGCATCGTAGTACTGCACCCCAAGAGAGGGAGGGCGCCACACGCAATGCTGGGGTGTTTTTTTTTATTAACCAAGCTTTTATTGCAATGCTGGGGTGTCCATCAAGTCGACGGGGTGAATTTTATTTTCTGCTGTACGAATGCTCTTTGTTTTTCATTTGTTTAACTGAAATTGAGCCGACTGTAGCACGTACGGAAGGGGGAAACCACATCTTGTAAAATTTCAATGGAAAAAATTATTCAATGTATTGAATATATACCACTAATGAATTTAAAATTTTAAATAAACACGTTGTCCTAGTGGTAACGTGCTCGACTGGCACGCCAGAGGCCCGGGTTCAAGCCCGCCAATATTCATTTTTTTTTTTTAAATAATTCCTATTTTTTGTTTTTTTTTTTAATGGCAAATTAATGGTAATATTGTTTAAAAACTGAATATTTGAAAATCCAGAAGATATCCAGTGAAATTGAAAAATTAGCAATTTTTTAAAACAATACTTTTGCAATATATATACTCCTAATGAAA